GATTTTTTTTAAATGCTGGAGAGATAAGATTGAAAACCTCAGTGGTTTTAAAACCATAGTTTTTTTAAGCCATCATATAACATAAAACTATTAAACTGCCCATCTGTACTTCGAAAAACCCAGAACAAGTCAAAATCCTGCCATCTACAGAAATGCTCAGTTGATCCAGCAGTTTTATTCTTATAGGGAAGCTTAAAACATACTTCATTCTTACTGAAACATAAAGATTAAATATGCACAACTAGTTCAACGCAAAATAAAATAAAATAAAAAACAGTGACCATAGTCCAGCAGCATTCCTTCAGGTTTTTTTTATATTTCTCTGGTTTCTAGATTAAGGTTTTGTTACATAATATTTTATGTGAATGTTTTATGCAATGTATAATTATCATAAACTGAGACAGTATTATACAAACAGTACAAGGTTTGATGGTTTCCTGCTAAATTCAATGATCCAACAATGATATCACTCCAAAAAGAACAGGGAACAAGTTACAAGTGTTATTGCTCACATTAATAAACTCTGATTTAAAAAGAGAGAGATAAGAATGAGGAAAATGTCAAGGTTATGAAAGCTTTCATGTCTGGCGAGGAAGTGGATTCAGCCTTCAATGTATGTATCTCAATTCAGTTTTATTTATTCACTGGTAGATAACACAAAATAGAAAGAACCTGTGGGGGAGTAAAAGACGGGAGCGCTTGTGTTGTATCCAGTTGTACCCAGGCTGCAAGTACCCAGTTGAACCCTAAAGACTGGACTCTGAGTCCCTGATTAAGACCCCTACACCCAGAGTTACCCATAGACAACGCAAGCACTGCCCTAAGACTGATGGGCTTAAATAGAACATACATTTTGGGACAAATAAAGATTATTATTATTTTTACCATTGAAGAGAGACTTGAATATTTGTTGTATGTTGAAAAAGGTTGAATGACACAATAGGAGATGAATTAACAAAATGAACGGCCTTTTTCCTTTTAAAGAAGCTTTACAGAACTTCATCAGCAGTATTAAGGCAAGGCCGGAACACCTGTATAAACCAATTTAAAATAAAAGTCACGTACAGTAAGATGGGTTCGGAACTTGAATAGAGCCATCTGGGAACATTACGGATTTAACACAAAAAAAAAGACGTGTTCCACAAAATGAGACAAAATGCATGTGTGGCTTAACCTTAGCCAGACAAAAAGCAGAGGATGGAGACAGTGATTTCATGATTGCTGCAATTTTCTATTCCTCACAACGGAGCAGAGTGAGTGACTGGTGTCTATTCGCCCACAGCCCAAAGGTTGCAGTGGGAAAATATCAAGAACATAACAAGATAAGAAATATGTTGAAAAATACTATGATAGAGAGACATTTATCCAGCTAAATACAACACTGAACATTTATCATACAAATTTAGTTTATTTTATAGTTAAAATAAAGACCAAGATCAAATAAACTTAGTGTATATAATTCACAAAGTAATTTCTGAATGATATACATTTCTGAATGATATACAATTCTGAATGATATACAATTCAATACAATAAAATTGTATTGAATTTTCAAATAATTATCATTTAGCTAATTTGTACTTCCGTATAGCCATTTTTTGGAACTATGTGAACCAGAAACTAAACTAACCTATCCTTTAACTTAACAAATGGCCGCATGGAAGTAAAGAAACAGATGGAACAGTACATTTAGCCAATAGCACATACGTACTCCTGGAGTGATTGAGAAAGTCAGTTTATTTTCTTTTTTTCTAAAATAAGGTATTGGAAAATTGAGACTTTGTAATTCTCGAATAATCGTTTGATGGAGTTATTCATGTGTATTACAGTTTTTTTACTTATTTAAATATAAAATGATCCTAACAGCAAAAACACATTGCAAAAACACCCTTTTTGTATTTTCAACAAATAGAATAAGTATCTTTATTTAGTTAGGAACTACCCAGTGTACTAAGTATTTTTGGACTGAATGTGATTGAACCAAGTCAGTCTGTAAATAGCACATAAATTTAGCACTAACTCAATAATTTATAAAGTAGCCATTCTCCCTCACATTGTAAGTGGCTAATGCTAAACAATGAGGAGCATTCTCACGCCGCTCAGAAAAGACTCTTTCAGAATGAGTTATTTCTTTCAGCTAGTCTCGTCTATTAGCTCACTCTGTCAACAACAGAGGGCAGTTCAAGTTTAAAAGGGTGTGAATTTAAAAAGTGTTTCATTTTATATTGAGTTTCTTTTTGCAAATAATAGCACTTCACCAGAGACTGAGCTACATTTCTGAGTGAAATACTGCAGCATTTTGATATCCCAAGATGCATCATCAAGCTTGTTAGAACCCAAACAATTAGCATGGATCTACGTAAATTCCTCTATCACTGATGGAGCAGAACATATTAGCTAATTACAATATATCTACATTATCAATTTTCGTCATGCATTTTCTAAACCTGCTCCTCAGGGAAAACAGAGTTACATGTTTTAGGCATTCTTTGCTTCAAAATAACTGAATGAAATCAAAGGAAATTAAAAGGCTCAGATGCAAGAAGGCAACCATTTAGTTACATAGATCAAATATGTTCAAATATGTAAAAAATAGGGCAGACAGTCCCCAACAGATTAAAAAACAAAAACTTTTTATTTTTATGATTTAAATACCTCATTTATTTTAAAGACACCAGTTGAATATAACTTATATATATTCTGCACTTATGCATGATAAGGAATGATTTTGCTTTATTGCCATTTCTACTATTGTGTATAAAAATAAATGACTTGGGTTTAGTTTAGTTTTTTATTAATTAACCTTCTTTTATGGCCTTCAGGCTATTTTCTGACACGTATCCCATCCAGTTTCATTTTGGTAGTCTCCCTTTATGCATTTCATATAAGGTTTTACTGCTTGGCTTGCCTCATCCTGTGATTGTCTCAATTGTTTTGTTGTTTATTTGACTAAAATTCATCAGCTTCGGGATGCATGTTTGATGATGGGCTCCCTTCTTCATTTGCTGTTCCCTCATTCATGCCTCCATTTACCTTGCCAAATTTGTTAACGAACAGGTCGTTTTCTTCTCTCTCCAGTTGTCACAATATTTTAAAATGATCAAAATCAGGCTTCACTCCGGAAAAATGCGAACAAAAAAGAAAATAACTGGTAAAATTGTGAAACAAATCCACCAGAAAATGATCTTCTACCACAACAGTTACACATTTCTATTCATTATATACTATATAGAGGTAGAACAGATTTGGACTTTGTTGTACATCTCTTCTTTTTTTATTAACAGATCAGGAAAAATCTCTATGGAACCCTCCAGTCTGGTAAGACCAGTCTTTAAAGGGTTAAGGGACTCAACAGTGAATCAGATATTACAACATAACACATGCAGCTGGATGCTGATGGCTTGAGAGAGGGCTTGAATGAATTAAACATTCAGACGCAGCAGGGAAACGAGACAACTGTGTAGTGACATGGTGAGAGAAAAATAGTGTTCTCGATTTAAATACTGTTGCTACTCTTAAGAGAAAGAAGGACCAAAGGGAAGTGCAATGTAAGAAGACAACAATGTTGGGGATTAAATAATACACAAGTGTGCAAAGTTTAAATATGAACACTTTGAGTTCAAACCCTTACAATGCCGAGACTAAATGAATGCCAATTAGAGAAATAAATCATTCACATCATCAACAGAAATGCATAGCAGAAACACTATGAATTCACTAAAAAAGAAAGTTCAATATTTATCAGGAAAGTTATTTAACTGCTTCAGACATACAGCCTCAAATTATGTCAGATCCTAAATTTCAAAACAAGAAAGCCACACATGCTGGTTAAAGAAACATCTGGAAGTGGTTACCATAGCTACTAATATTAACTGTTAGGTAGTTGGAGAGGTGGTATTGTTACATTCAGTTTACCATAAAGAAAAAAAAGATATAATAATATCTAGTGCTTTAAATAAACCTAGACCACCTCTAGAGCTTTAGATAAACGATCCCTGCTTCACAGCCCTCACATTGTAATTAGATGCAATACTTCTTGTTGAATTAACAAACAGAAAACCTAGACTTTCCATACAAGCAATGGTTTTAAATGTAATAATTTCTAAACCCCAAATACAAGGAATGCCGATGGTTATTATGTTGACAATTAAAAGTGCTAAAATTTTATTGGTAATTAAGGAATAACAAAAGAAATCATATAAACTAACGAAGGTTCTTACTCTAAAACACAAGCTTTCATTGAAATACTTGAGCAATAAATCCTATACTACCTCATTTTTAGGACCACTGTATGTCTTTGCTCTTGTGTGTATAAATATAGCCACAGTCGGGCTCGACAATCATGAGATCAGCGCTCGGTGGGAAACATACCATATGTTGTTGGATATCTTGTTCTTTTTGTTACAGCCATTTGTCTATTTCTGTCGGTATTTTCAGTAAAAAGGCTATAAACCTATCAAAAATATTTAAATTTGAAAATCAGATATTTTCACATTTAAATACCTTGATCCAGAATTATCTTTAGAGTCCTTAGTTTAGTAAACATAACCGCATCCTCATAAAGAAAAATTAACCACAAGGCATTTATTTAATTTATGACTTATATAGTTAAAATAGTAATGAATTACCATTGATATTGGTCTAGAATATATACTATTTGAATATTTTTGTTATCTCTAATCATGTAACCTTAGGATGAAGTTATTTATGAGTTTGTATATCTTAACAGACTTTCTATAAAACCCATGCAGGTTTAAAGGGAAACTTTAACTCATGTTTGTAATAAAATATAGCAGATATTGAAATGTAAACGACATGATCGTTTATATATTTAGCTGAAATTTTAAATGAAATCCATATTGAAATAAATGGGCATTTTTGAGTCAACCCTAAAAAAAAAATAAAAAAAAAACTGTCAGTGTGAATTTATAAAATATATAGCTTTATTTTCTATAAGGCAAGAAGACAGGTTGAGGAACTGAGCGGTAGTCACGACTCACCTCGAACTTTGCCTTTTGAAGCCATCACTGCATTCCCCAAGTAGAAGACGAGGGGTTGGATGAACAGCAAAAGAAGCAGAAGTCAGAAAAAGAGAAGAAAAAGAAGACAGAGCAACAGATTAGATAAGTTTAGGGAGAGTAGAGCGTGGGTATCTGTGACACATATTTAGAGACAGCTTTGTGTTTATCTTGAAGGCTAGTTAAAAGTGCTAAAATCATTGGATTGCTCAACCCTTAAAAAGAATGTCCTGAATTAGCTCAGCTGCAAATTGAAACTCTATAGTGTGGCACCTTTTAATTAGTAGTGTCACATCATGTGGCACAGGAAAGGAACCATGTTGCCTTCTGATATGTTGCAAAGCCCGGAAGGATACATGCAAATAGAAGCTTTCATGAAGCTGTTCTATTTTATCTTTCATAGTTGGAGCTTTTATTTGTTTCTTGTTTAATCTACAGATTAGAAATATTTATATTATTAAATGAAATCTGCTTCTTTAAGTTATGTATACCACTTATTCAAACTTTTTCTCAAACTTTATTTTTTGGGGGATTTGGGTATGAAGAGCCAGACCAAGTGGCATGCTTCTTGCGGACAAGCTTATAACTTATAAATTCATGTCAATACATTTTTCTATAGATAAGAGTGGATCTCCGCTTCTCTCTCTTATGTGGCCTTCATGATTAATGCTCTCCTAATCTGGATGTTTAACTTAACTTTAAGTTTGACAGCAACGTCTTGGTGTGTTTTTAGTATTTTGCCACAGATTTTCCCATTTTAGATTAGACACTGAACAATATCTCAACAAATGCTTACTATTTCAATGTTCTTTTATTACTTTTCACTATTTGGTGTGGATCTTGATCCTCATGCTTGTTTTTTATGGTGTTCTCCGACTAATTTTTTAGATCTTAACAAACAGCTGTAACCTAAGTAAAGTTGTTTGCAATGTAAGTGGTTCAAAACCAAATGATTTCTAGAGAAAACTGATGGCACTGAATCTTATTTGAGGCACTGGGACTCGATACAAATACACACCTCAGTTGACAGGTAAAGTGAGGCACCACAGTATTAACATGCAATTGAGATAACCACAATCAGCATAAAAACAAAGACTATCCAATGAGCAGCTTAAGTGAATAAAAATCATATGAGCCAAGAAGGTTGTGTATTAAAACAAAAGGAACCACAGCATTTAAATCTGAGAAACCATGCCAGTGAAACCATAGAAGGGAAGCCAAACCAAAGTCATAGATTGTCCACAGGTGTGTGGGTCTAAATTTGCGAGCAAATCTCTGGTGAATAACTCTAATGCTTCACACACACTGCTTTGCCAAACTGATGGATCCACTGGAATGCTTCCACTGAGCCTGAAAACCTACACAGCTGTAAGAGACAGCAATTGAAAGAATAAATAGGTGCCATGGCTGCAGGTTACATAAATGACTGTTTTGTTTTTTTCTTTCACTTATTTAGTCTATTGAATTATAGAAATAAAAAAATCTCCAGGTAAACAACTTATACCAGTAAAAGATATCAAGTTAGCTCTCAGAAATTACACTGAAAGCAAGTATTGAGACGTCTTTCAGCTGCTAAAAGCTGACCATGCTGACCCTCACGACTGTTGGTAATTCTTTGTTCATCAGTGAGTACCGTTATAACCTGATAGCAAGTTTCTAGTGGCAAATGAAGATGATTATATTCTGTCAGTAGCATTTCATATCTTGAAAAAGGAGAGTTACATTTTTATTCTTGCAATTTGAAGTGAATATTAAAAATTATTTGCATGAATCTTTGTTTAAAGCGTGTCTGGTAATGCATAATGGGGGCAGAAGATTGTGAAATGATGTAAAGACAATCAGATTTATCTGACAAAAAGGTGTATTGGTTTTCTTTTGCATACAGAGAAAAATTACACTGCCAGAGAATTCCACCGATTCTTTTTTTTTTCTCCATAACTTGCTGTTGTGTCAGTGGCTCAGAAGGAGAGGACCCAACAGAGAAAAAGGGCAGTGGATGTCACATTCCTGCCAGTAATGCTTTTTACACAGGACCAATGGCTTTGTGAAACATTCCCTCAGCCTGTCTGACCTCGGTCTATAGCTGCCTTTCATCGTAGTTGTCAAGGTCTGAGCTCCCTGGCACAACAGTGTCTCTATGATCTCTAAACTAGTGAGACAAAAGATAGAACAAACATATAGATTTTTTACAACTGTTTTCTCATGGCAACAGCTGAATATATAAACCACTAAAGGGATGGAGACAGAAGACAAGAAGCAATGAAAAAAAGAAAAAAAAAATACTGGCCATCTTATCCGACTTATCTCTGCACATGTGGCCCATCTCAGAGCATTACAGTTTCTAGGCAACCAACAAAACAGGTCGGTCATTTAAGCTGAAATCACATAAAACACTTTTATCCCACTCGGTTCTTACTGCATTTTAAATTACAATACGCAGAGTACTCCTAATTGATCACACAGTGTCCAGTATTCCTGTAGTAATCACTATTTATTTGGAACAGTTCCAAAATGTCAAAAGTGAGGTCTGCTTCTAAATTGCTCTTAAGTTTTTGTAGAAGTCTTCAAAGTAAGCATAGGGCTTATACTGTAGCCTCAACCTATATTTGAGACTCTTCTGTTCAACAAAAAATATTGCAGCTCTTCAGTTACCTAGTTTTGTTTACAGTTAATTGGTAAAAACTACTTTCCAGGTTAATGCTCACACTTTGTTTTAAACACCATGGAGTATTTTAAAGCATTTGTGTAGAAAATAAGAAACTGACAAGTTACAAACAAGATAAAGTGTTTATAAGAATGTTAAAAATAACACAATTAACTGTTAGCAAACAATGATGCTGAAGTTGGCATCTCTTCTAATCTTCTCAGAGGTGACAAATTAATATTAATAAGTACTATTTCACCAATTTGTCAGGACTTGAGTCAGGTCAGATGGATGATTCTACAGAGCAGACATTCTTAAATCAAAGTTTTACATTTACAAAATATTTTATTTACTACTACTTTATTACCTACATATTGATTTTTTTTTTTCATTACTTTCAGGGCAGTTGGACAACCATAGATTGACAAAAATGATCCAATCCATAAAATCTGATTTATTCAAAGCTGGACTTGTTTAAGAAGTGTACATTCATTGTGATTTCTTTAAAGTATGATTTGAAATTCATATTGTTCGCGAAAACAAGGGCTCAATTTCATGATATGAGATTATAGTACATATTTCCATCTTGCTTACATCTCATACTGATTAGGTAAAATGGTATAACATTATCTTTGCTTTGAGCGAAGTAAGCAAAGGGGGTTCATACAACCGTCACATGTTACGATCTTATCTGTTTTGCCAAGAGTTGGTAAAAACAAGTGTAGCTAATATTTGAAAAAGCTGTAATGTGATGCAACGGAGGTGTTATTAAATATCAGTTTTACTGTTTTTGATTATCAGCTAGTACAGAATTTCCAAATATGAATTTCCAAAATGTTGTATGCACAAACGAGCTCCAAAAAAAATCTATTCTAAGGTTAATAATGTGCAACTTAACCTTGCAATAAAAAAAAAAAACCTTTTTAAAAACTTTCTTTGTTTTAGCTAGATAAATATTTGCAATCACAAGGATGTGCTTAACCACTTCTTGCAGAATTGCCTAAATCTTTCTCAGAGCTATTGATCCAAGCTATGTGTAAACAGCAGAATTTTACCTGCAAGGATGAAAAGCTAGTTGTGAAACAGAGAAGCATCGAGTGGCAAGCAGGTTCTTCCCTCTCTCTACCCATCAGCAGGAAGCCGTCATAAATAAACTGTGTGATAGTTCATACAGAAGCCACCTACTGTGGCCCCCACGCACGCACACACACACGCAGGCACACAAAAACAGCAGTGATCACAGCACTCCCTTAAGGTAGGAGTCTCCTGGGAGGACGTTTGTTCTATTGCAACATCCCTCCTGTTTTTGTCCTTCTTTACTCGTTTTGTTCTCCCCCCCTCTCTTCAAGTCGCGCTCGCTCAGGAGTTTGTCTCTCCTCCCTTTTCATATTTGCTCTACCACCTTATTAACTGTTTCCTTATCTAAATCTCACTCTCCCACCACTCTCTTTCAATGCCCTCAGGCTACTTTCTTTTGCAGAGGCAGATATATTTAGAGTCTGACAGCCAGAGAAAAGCCTATGGAGATCGATGTGAGTAGTGTGCCTCTCTGAGCTGTCACATGACATGATGGAGAGTTTAGCTAATCTTTAGACCAGCAGCAGCTGTTTTTCCTGTATGTCTGAAGATCTTTTGGCCCATGGATTTAGACCAGTATTCCTTCGGTGAGCAGATTGCTGTAAAACCTTAACCTACTCTTGGTCACCTTGAATTATCTGGATATCAATTCACACATTTGTGTTTTTAAAGGAAAAATTTTCCCTACGATCTAAAAAGGCTTGTGTTATCCACTCTTGATACTTTCTATAGGCAGACAATCATGAGTTTGAAAAAGGACAATAATCAGATAAAAAGCTGCTTGGAATCATTTAGTCAGAAAAAACAATACATTCATTTAAGATTAGATTTAACAGGAGATTCATTCTTATTTTGTCTAGTCAATCTTTTGCTAAGGGCTGCAATTAATCTCTGGATAATAAAGGAGGTGGTAAACAGTGTTAATAGATGGAATCAAGCTTACTTAACTCGGCTTATTGCCACCATATTGCCTGCATTATTGGATCTGTCTGACACACCCTTGTGTTCTCACATTATAGGGAGACACACACATCTGTTGTCTTGCTGTTTAATCTAGCGTATTTGATTTCACCTTCTTAACGTGATTACAAATAACCTGTCTGTAGCAGAATCATATGCTTGCATTAACTGAAGGAAGATGCAAACATGCAGAGAAAAGCACACAACCAGAAGTTAATGGTACCCAGAGAGCCATTTTGAATAGTTTCTTTTCAAAAGCTAGGAAACCAAACAAGTACCATTATTCCTTTAGTCTAAAACATGGATAAAATGCTCTAAACATTCTGGC